CTATTTTCATTTCTTTGCACAGAAAACTGGAAGGTTGGTATGTATGCCCACATATGGGTAAACTTTTTTGTAATCAATCATTTCTTGCTGAAATATTAAAATAATATCCACTCTTTATTTTATAATGTAACTATAATGATAAAATGAATAACTTGGTTATAAAGGGGAAATATTCTCTAATATAAGGAATGATATAAGCACATTTCTTTTTTTCTCATAAAAGAAGTAAAACATATCGACTGTTCAAAAAGTTGGAATGATAATACACACATTTTAAAACCTGAGTTTCACCGGGAGCTTTATTTCCCCTGCTAGTATTTAGTTTTTCTGTGCTTTTGTTTTCATGCTGTGGTCCTTGGTTACTTATACTTGCAAAGTTAACCTACTGGCTTAAGAAGAGAGCAACCCAGGGGTAGCTATGTGGTACAGTGGATAGAGCACTGGTCCTGCAATCAGGAAGAACTGAATTAAAATCTGGTGTCAGACAGCTGTCACTTACTAGCTATTTGACCCTGGGCAAGTCACTTAACACCAATTGCTGAGAGAGAGGGAGAGACAGAGAGAGAGAGACAGAGAATACCACCCAAGTCAAATGACTTAACATTTTCTTAATGTTAGACACATATAACAGGTCCCAGTTTTGAAGAAGAGGGCTGGGCCACTAAACAATTAGCAAACAATACATGGAACCATAATTCTCGTTAGGGTTCTGAAAGATCTGTGGTTCAATACAAGCTTGAAAATGTTGAGTTTTCTTGTTTTACAGTCAATTTGTTTTCTGCACTGGGGAGGTTTGATTGCTGACCCAGGCCTTGGCTTAACTCCCTGAGCAGAGAATTAGAGCAGGCTGGCACTTGGTCTCCTCCAGACCTGACTTTTTTCTGAAGGTTATGCACCACTCTTCAACCTATCACAATTAAGCTTCCTTGCCTGATCTCACCATCCTATTTTTGGCTAAATCTTTCCATAACTCAACCCCATTCCTTACTACTAAGCCCTGCCCCTGCCTTCTTTTTTAAGAGAATGGATAGCTTGCCAGTGGCTCTTCACTTCTCCTCTCCAAAGAAAAAAATTTAGTCCTTGGACAATTCTTTAATTGTCTGATCTTATGAGAATTGTCCCAGTTCTAGTACTTGTATTGAGACCTTAGATAAATTCTCTGATTCATGTTCTACATCTTAAAAAAAAAAAAGCAGGAAATGAGTGGATTGGATAATTCTAAGGTCCCTTAAAATTCTAAAACCATCAGATTTTAAGAAATGAATTATGGAAAGCGAATAAAAATTAAGACAATATGAGAGAAATAACTGATTTCCACCAAATCACAACTCCCTCCTACAAAAACATTCTGAATGAAGTATCTTATTTCTCCAAAATCAGAAGTTTCTCCTTCAAAAACACCCAGTACAATGTATCTATACTTTTCAAAGTCATATTTACTTCATAACTCTTTGATGGACAATCAATCCATCATCCCCTTTTACATAACACTAACTACTATTAAAACTTTGTACAATGTGTATTTTGTGAGAGAGTTAAAGTACTTTGAAACACAGCCTCACAGAGAGGAACTAATGTACCATCACATACAAAGATAACACATAGACTCACATATCTATATACATATTTATGTATGTATACACATATTTATTTTCACAAAAATAGGGAGATCCTAGTCTGCTTCTGTTCATAAATAAGGAACCTTACAAATTATGTGTAGTTTCTTAACCTCAATCATACTAGAAGCCAATGTGTATAGTGAGGTCTAAAATCCATCTACCTAATCCACAGCATTGTTCTGTAATCATTAAACTACATTCCCTCATTACTGAGAAATATTCAGCATCCCAAAATATATCTGAGCTATTCAGGAAACCTATCCAGGCTACTCAACCTCCTCGACTCTAGGATAGGCTCTGAGAAATTGGGGACTTACAGCCAAATTCCCTGCTTTAATTATTCAATGCTCACTAGCTTTTTTGACAGTTTAATAAACCCACTCTACAGTACCCTGCTCGAAGCCTTTGACAGCACGCTCCAAATAGAGCCGGGTCCAAAAAACAAATGGTGCCATCTGCATAGCTACATACAACCCAGGAGCAACACCATTAACTGAGCAGTAAAACCTAGAAAAGGATAAAAAAAAAAAGAATCCAAAAGCGACTGTGTTTCTCCTTGTTCATATATCCAAATGGAAACACACAAAGAAGGAGATTCAAATTTAGTTTGTATAGGCAAATGGGACTCCCCAGCTATGTCAAACTTCCCTGAACAAAGAAGTAAGAACAAAGAGAGAGAGAAAGAAAGAAGAAAGAGAGGGAGAAAGGGAGAGAGAGAGACACACACACAGAAATTGGAAAGCAGACACTAAACCCCTAAGCAGAAATAAAAATAGGTTCCAGATGAGTAAGGGTTAGTGTCCTGTTTTATATGAGAATTGGCTGAACAATCTGGAACATATGGGGCACTGTTAAGCTTAAAGAGGCCATATCAATAAAGTGTTTTGAGCTCTTCAGAGGAAGATGGTTTAGCAAAAGTGGAGCACCATCACAATGATTCGAATATTAACATAGCACAAGGTTAATCAGAAGCCAGTTTTGTATTACTTAGATTTGGTAGTTTTATAATTAATTTTGTATTACTCAGTTCTGTTATAAACAATGCTAATTATTTCACATAATGTGTTGAACTACACCCAAAGGCTTAACACTTGGAATTTCTTTCAGTTTCTACTCACATTACACAAAAGTAGCGGCTATTAAATATTCCTCACTTTACTGGGTCATCTGAATTAGAGAGTCATTAATGAGATAGGGAAAGTTGTGAATACAACAGTAAGAATGATGGTCACTGGTTGGATGCCTTTCCTGTTTTTATTAGTATATCACAATTTAGGTTTGATCAAATAATCATGGCCAAGAGAGTTGCCATAAATGAGGGGAACTGTTAAGAAGGTAAAGATAATTCTATATTTCTGAGTGGTTCTCTGGTACTGTTCCTGAATGAAATTCTATTGAAGGGACTTCAAATGACCACAGTGTCACCTTTGGATGTTCATGCTGCATGTACACATGAAGGAAGTATTATGGGACATGGCAAGTCCATATTGGGTCATATAATTCCTTTGCATTTTTTCTCCAAATATTTTCAAAAGTATTTTCTGATATGGGACATGAAGGATCAAAACGTGTATTTCAGTGATCTGTGGTACATTTTAGTGGTGTAGTACAGTGAAAAAAAAGAAAGCCCAGAATTTGGAATCCAGAAGCTAGGGCTCTTAAATGGCAGTTTTAGAGTGTGGAAAGTCCCATCGTTTCTCAGGACTGTTTGTCAATTCATGATGATTTCTTTTTTTGCTGAGGCAATTGGGATTAAGTGACTTGCCCAGGATCACACAGCTAGTAAGTGTCAAGTGTCTGAGGCTGGATTTGGACTCACATGATGATTTTTTTAAAAATTCCTTTTAGTACTATGTTCATCATCCAGTGGCTTCATAAAAAGCAACCAAATATTCATCCAAATGGTATGACCTCAACAAATATAAAACTGCTATAAGCACCTCAAAACCATTAGATTGGCACATATTTTGAAGTTATTATAATTCCTCTTGAATAATAATGATGTATCTTCTATGTCACTCTCATGCTCAAGAAGCTTCTATAACTCCCCATTACCTATAGGATAGAGCACTCTATCTTCTTTTTTGCCTTCCTTTCCTCCCTCCCTTGCTCCTTCCTTCTTTCTTTTCTTCCTCTGTTTTTTTCTCATGTTTCCTATTTCTCTATCTCATTCTCCTCTAGCTCCCTCTCTTCTGCAACCTCTTTCCCACTATCTTTCATAGGGTCCTGTTCTTAGGCTCAATCTCACATTGATTAGCAAAGAAATGTTGATTTGCCCTGTTTCCATACTGGGCCTGTTCACCCCTCTCTAGGCATCCTGGTGACACCGCTCCTGGAGGAGTGGCATATAGTGGCATCATATTGGCACCAGATTTAGTGGAGACACCCTGAATATTCAGCTTTAGTCCACTGAGGTTAAGACTTCCTGAGCTCAAAAAATACAATCTTCAGCACCCCCCAACAGCCAGGATTATAGATATGAACATCATGCCTCGGCCATCCGTCTTTCTAAATTAATTTCACATTATCCTCCATCATGCCCTGCATTTTCTAGCCAAACTGACCTTCTTATTCTTTTGCATATATGTCCCTCATGACTGGGTTTATGTTACTCTTCCTCCTCTTCTTGGGATTCTTTTTTCTTTTCAAGGCTCAACTCAAGTGCTACCTCCTACCCAAGGCCTTCTCTCTTACAAATAAACATATTTTTTAGTGCTCCACCTCAAAAATATTTAATTTATATGACTTCTATATGTCAACCTGTGTATATTCTATTTCCATCTAGGAAAATCTAAGCTCTTTGAATCATAGACTGCTTCATTTTTGTCCTCATATTACCAGGGCTTCACAAGGTAGATGCTTAATAAATGTTGGTGGTATTGAATTTATTCTCATTATATACTATGGGGATTAAATGAGACTATATATGTGTGTGTGTGTGTATGTATGTAAATATATCAAACACAATAGAAATATAAGCTATTATGATTATTATTATTATTTTAGACATATGGATAGAACAATTACTTCTCTGTTACTCAAAAGCAACTTAATCTTTAGAATGCCTCAAACTTACCATAAAAGGATCAAGAAATAAATTTTTACTTTCTTTATTCACTATTTACATATAATGGACACATCATTATGTCACCTTATTCTATGTCTGAATATGCAGTGCTCATTGGTTGGCATAAAGTTGGCAATGGTTTTGTTCACATTTCTGAAGTCACATATTTTGAAGATAGTCAAATTAGCCTTATTTATTTATCCCCTCCTATATGTCTTATTAAAGCAAAAATATATTTCAACCTGCTCAGGGAAGCTGATATGAAAAGAATATATCCTAAACACAAATAATGAAAAACAAATAAAAACAATTACCTTTAGGTGCTATTTTCTTTTCAGGTTTTTCCTGCTTTTCAGCCTTCTCTTTGTGAATTTCTGAGGGGGGAAACATAATTTGCACTTTAGAAAAAAAAAGGTTGAGTAATGAGGGAGGAGAAAGAAAAGAACTTCAGAGATAAGTTGATCCTTGAGCTATACAGTATTTCCTGAATTATCATATATGACATGGTGATGACAGACAAAAGAGAAACATTTTATTACTCATATTGCTATTTCTGTTACTTATACCATCTTAAAATAAGAGAAATTTTAGTGGTTCCATAAAGAAAATATCATTGGGGAAAACTCTTGGTAAGCTTGTACCACATTAGAATCCCATAACCAATCACAAACTATAATTACATTTTATTTCAATTACTCTCACTACAAATTAAGAATCCTTAATCGAAATCTAATTTAGATTTAGTAAGACACAATTTTTACATATTAAATTAAGAATTTGTGAAATGAGCTGTAACAACTGCCTAATAGGAAGTATAGCTCAGAATTATGGAGTCAAGTTTCTTAATCAGCATTTGCTATCACATTGAACCAATAATTACTTTATATTGATAGATAGATTACTTTATATTGAAAGCACTTCACCATGGCTTCATATATATATATTGAAATGCCCAGTGATTGAATAAGCCTGGGCATGAAAATTAACCCTAATTTCCCATTAATTTAAACTAGAATAAACAACAGATTGGAATCTTTACAAATTTTAGTAGAAGTCGCTAGGCAGAGAGGCAATGTTAGGGCATGGAAAGAGCTCTGGGACTGTTATCAGGAAACCCAGGTTAGTATTGTGAAGCCAATTCTTACTAGTTGTATGACCTTGGTTAAGTACCCTATCCTATCTGAGAGAACCGGTGTGAAATAATGGATAGAAAGGTATCCTAGAGGTCTAGATGATTTAAGTCCTGCCTCTGACATACTGGTTATATGGCCCAGGTAACTCTCTGAGACTAAAAATTATATAGCACATGCTGATTAGCATTGGAAGTAGTTTTGCCACTGGGAGTTTCTTATGCCAATGATGGTAATTTTTTTTTTTTAACACGAAGCATAACATTTGTACTACAGTTATCTTTTCCACATAGTGATATTCCTCATTGATATTTTGATATAGACATAAGAAATTAAATGGGAAATTTTGGGGAGTTTTGCTTCATGAAAACCAGCGGATGAGCCAGAAAGAGTTTAGAAACTCAGAAATGCATAAAATATATGTAGAATATTGTATAATATCAACATATTTCATCTTTTAATACCATAATAATTCAAACTTCTTCTCTGGTATGGAGGGAGGGCCAAAAAATTTTATGTGGATTTTCCAGATCATGGGGGGCCCCATGCCTCCAACCCCTGTGACATAGAAAGGATAACTGAACTTACTTGAAGGTGTTGCTGCAATTAAACAAACAAACAAAAAAACCCATCACGGGCTGTCTGAATATCAGAGCTTGCTTTTTTTGTTTTTGTTTCTTAAAGGGGAGGGGAAGAAAATTTCTTTTAAGCAGCTTTTCAAAGCATATTTTAAACACATAAGCAGAAATATTTCAAACCTTATGTTTCAGAAAATTGTGGAAGGCTTGTGCTTTGCATTGGTGTGTGCAAAGCATAATATAAAATAATTATAATAATATGTTACTAATAAAAGAGAGAGACAAGAGACAGAGGGAGAGAGAGGGAGAGGGAGAGAGAAAGAGACAGAGAAACAGAGACAGAGAGACAGAGAGCTATTTTCAGGGACAAAAATTTAACCAGAAATATATTACAGTGCGCTTTCTAAAAGGCAATATGCAGCATTTAGATAAGTTAACCTTTCCCAGTCTTGTTCCTGGCTTTCACACTTCAAAAACCATGTCTCTGCCACTTAAACTCTAGAATGCCCTCAGCACCTGAGAATTCCTCATGCTGGAACATCCAACTATGGCTGCATCCTTCTCAACTTGGAATATCCATCTCTAAGGCCCGCCCCATTCTCCCATTGGTGAGCTACTCTTGTGGCCTCCAATTTGTGGAGGGAGTCAAGCTAGCCTTCATTCTCCTCTTGGCCTCTCTTCCTGGCTTCTGAAATTCATTAGCATACCCCCTCATTGGCTATTTTAATTACCCCAATCCCAACTTAGCTTTTCAGCTCCCTTTTGTGTATTGACATGAATACACAAGTCCTTCCACAAAGGGATTGTCTTTCTTTGTGCTTGCAATTGTATCTCCAGAGCTGAGCACAATCCTTGGCATATGGGATGTAATAAATGCTCATTTTCTCCTTTGCTTCCCTAATAATAGTATTGATAGGTTTCATCAATTATATAGTCATTTTTTTCCCAGAGAAAGAGACTATTTTAGTAGAGAGATTGCTGTGGAGTCAGGAAGACCTGGCTCAAACTTGCTTATGACAAATACTAGCTGTGCGATCCTGGGTAAATCATCAAACCTGTCAGTGCTTCAGACATCTCTCTAAGATCCCAAGTTGTAAAGCAGTTGCCAATCTGCATTGGCGAAGGATGTTTCTTCAACAAGAGTACCCTACACCAATGAAATCATAGGTCTGAACTCAAAGGAAGCAGTACTTTTAAAAGTTGGATTATTATCTAAACGAGCTAAAACATGGTAAAACTTGGCAATCAAATAATCAATAAGATTAATATATTTATATCAAAAGCATCCATTTTTTCCTCCTTTACACCTTCTAATGCCAAAGCTTGTGTGTTTGTGTGTGTGCGTGCATGCATGCATGTGTGTGTGTGTGTGTGTGTGTGTGTGTGTGAAAGAGAGAGAGAGTGAGAGAGAGAGAGAGAGAGTGAGAGAGAGAGAGAGAGAGAGTGAGAGAGAGAGAGAGAGAGAGAGAGAGAGAGAGAGAGAGAGAGAGAGAGCGCGCGCACCTTATTTTAGACCAGCCTTTAATAGGCTTAAGACTTTGGAAGCTTTTTGTGCTTTGTCTCTTAGACAGATAGCCTATCTTTCCACAGTAGCTCTGTTGGGAATTAGGTAATTACCATAGAAGCTTTCACAATAAAAAAAAAATTATATAATGAGCTAGGGATTTCTTTAGGGGGGGAGGGTAAAAGTGAGGAATTTTATTAGGATGTATCAGAAAATTACTGATTTGAAATATTTACACATATGCACAAATAAATAATTAACAAAAAAATAGGTACCAAAATGGCATGTTTAACTTAGCACAGCAACCATTATGGAACAAAGTTAAGCATATCATTTTGCTTTTTGTGTGTGTATAACTACTTCTAATCACTACAAGACTGACATGGTTCACAAATAAATGTATTCGGTATTACTTCTGTAGCAGTGGACAACATGTTGTATAGGGACCTAGCCCAAAGACCTAACTCCCCATCCAATGTTGTCCACTGCCACAAAAGTGACCGAGCACATTTATTTGTAAACCATGGCAGTTTCATTCCAAATGGCATGTACACTGGAGGATTTGGCATACATTTTCTTCATGGCCCCAATATCTTAGCCAGTGCCAGCTGACTTTCATTCTCCAGAGGCAAGCAATGAATATTGTCTTTTCTTTGCAAACAAAATACTCAATCACCAAACTGATTAGTGAAGTTGTTTAAAATAGGATGCAAATGAGATCAAATTTGCAGGCCTTCTTCCTATATTTCAACTTTCACAAAGGAAAGTTGCTTCCCTCAATTCCTAACTAAAGCTGGCTCTCACGGAAGTGAGTGCCACTGTTCAAAAGGGAAGGCTAGAGATGCTGTGGATGATAGGAGCCATCACTGTTACTGGGAAACAAACATATCAAAAACCCCACACAAAACAATAAGGTAATAATGTCACTTTGATAGACAAACAGCATTGCTACTTTTTAAAAATAATTGCTTAGAGCCCAAATCAGGCAATTCCCAGCAGCAGCACTTGATCAATCAGACGCTAATAAACCTGCATTTCTGTGTTCCTAACTGTGAGAAATAAGGGTTCGGGTCCAACGATTCAGTAAAAGGTAGATTGTGTCTATTTGCTCTTTTCGTGTTCCACTGGGGCCTTGTGTTTTATCTCATAAAGTTAACCAGCTTTTGTCTATGAGTGTCAAATGTCTTAACAGTTTAGAAGAAATTGCTACAGAATGTGTCCACTCTTTCTCCTACTCCTCAGCTGACGGATAATGGCCATTTAGCCTCTTATCTAAAATGCTACGATCACAGGCATGACTTATAAAAAGTAATTTCTGATGAACTAATGATGCTCTCAATTACCTTTTCCTCTTAATTAAATGCCTGTTTCTTTCAAGTATGCTTTGTAGTAGTGGTTTGGTTTAAGACCTGAGCTGTTAAATGGAAAGATTTCCTGCTCCGACGTTTTATATGAGCATCAAAATAAATAACACATGTTTCTACAGCACTTTGAGGTGTACAAAATATTTCCTTCACAATGTTCCTGCGACAACGAATGAACTGAACCTCAGAAGTCATGTGACTTGCCCAAGGTCACACAGCTCAGATTTGATATTGCTCTTTATACGATCTGAGAATTAGCCAGACTGGCCTATTTGATATTCCTTATGAACCACACTCCATGTCCTCTACCTGGTTTTGTACAGGCTGTCCTCTGAACTTAGAATGCTCTTCTTTTCCATCTCTCCCTCCCATATCATCCTAGACTCCTTTCAGCTTTCTGAGCTCAACTTGTTCAGGAGAGAAAATCTTGCTTCCTCTCATCTCTTCAGGTTAGTCCCATCCCTCATTCATCTCTATCTGACTTTCCCCCATGCTTCCAACATTCCCTCTTCAATGCCTAGTCTGTTGTAAAAAATTGCCTTTATTATTAGGTGGTCGTTCTCCCTTTGGGAATCACTTTGCATATGTTTTGCATTTATTTATATAAGCATGCTTATTTATAAGAACATATTAATAAAGTGTAAGCTGCTTGAGGGAAGGGATAGATTTATTTTGCCTTCTTATTTCCACAGTATAACTCAACACATGGCACCTAAAAGGTACTTTATAAATACATATCGAATTGAATCAAAAGATAAATCTACATGCTACCACTACATGAGGTCTTTCCTGTTTTCC